TAGGAATTTCAAAATAAGATTAACCTCTGAAAGCTTTTTATATCATACTGTGTGCACTGCACTGCTAGATATGAAAAGTCAAAGAATGCATGAGAATAGAGGGAAGATTTCAGTCTCTCTAGAAAACTGCTCTGTTGCCAGCCTCCCTGTGATGTTTCCTAGAATTCTTATGTCTGACTCTCCTGCTTCACCTCCTTTCTCTGCAGATCTCATCCGTCCAGTCTTGACGCTACTGTTGCCCCAATGACTCTCCGCTATCCCTAGCAGTTAGCAGTCTTGGACTATATGTACTCACGTCTAACAAAGAAATGAATTTTAGAGACAGAAAAGAGAGCCTCTTGCTTAGATCTGCTTACCTTTTAGGTGGTAATGATCCATTATTTTATACAATTAATGTCCATTAATAAAAATTGAGAATCCCAAAGACTAGAGTGCAGATGGTCATGCAGATAATATCAGCCTACTCCATGCAAATACTCTAAGATGCCTTGTTTTGTTCCATTGTTTATATAAAAGCCTATCATCTAAAATTCTGGAGCAATCAGTTGCAGGCTCTATAGGGAGGAATTTAGACTCAGCTTTGCCTAACTTGAGAACTCCATTTTCCTTGCCTCTTGCTTTTCTCAGTCACAGATCCAACAGTACTTACCATGCCCCAGTTTCCTTGTAGGTAAAGTAAGAAAGAACTTACAAATTTTCATTAACTCTTTACTATTGTTTTTTTTAAATAACCAAATCCACTGCTGTTTTCCATACCTATGTGATTCAAATATTGACTTAAAACCCAGGATGAGGAAATAATCTTTTACTCAGCATGGTTGAATTATCTTCTCTGTGCATGTGCCAACTGCTGTGCTAGTACTGGGATTTGAACTTAGGTAGGCAACTGCTCTACCACTTGAGCCACACCCTCAGTCCCAAATACAGTTTAAAAACTTAATACCCATTGCACAACCATTTTCTCCATCCTTCATCTCCTGCCATCACCATAGTGTCTCATCATGACATTTTAAGTTTTGCAGATCAAATTCCAATCACCTTACCTTCCACCATGCCTAGTTAGGCACAATAAAGTACTTGTTTTCTTATTCCTGCCCTTATACCTATTTGACTCTCACTGCAAAAAAAAAAAGTTCTCTAGAATTATAGCTTCACTTCCTGTCCTGTAGTGCCCAGGTAACAGAAATGCATTAATTCAGGTACTCTCAACAGTACCCACCTCACCTCTCATCTGTGTTCCTTTACTGCTCACATGCAGAATTTCAACCACAAAAAATTCACCCATTCATTCACTTAGGATAAATATAGAAATCATACTATATATTCACCATTAGTTTCTACTTCTACTCTTCAGTGTTGACTACTACACTAGGACAAAAATAAGTCACAAACCTCAGTGTCCTATAAATTTAAGTATCACCTCAGGTGTGGTCTCAACAATCAGCAAATCTTAACCTTTCTCCATGCCCTTAAAGGGGCATTTTGCACTCCTCTGAAGCCCAATTCTACTCTATTGTTCTCCAATCCATTGTTCTCGATGGCATTCCTTTTTCATGGAGAAAAAAAAGAGGGTTTGGACATGTACCACCATCTTACTGTACTCACCTATAAACATCTTTGTCCATTTTTAACTCCTTCTGCCATTTTCTGCCTCTGCTTCTGTTCATTACTAATTTACTCACCTGTGTTCTAGATCACCTCTCCCACTTCACTTCCTCTCCTCCTCATCCTTCCTGTAAAATGGAAATTACTAAATTTTCCATCTATTCTATTGAAATTGCTAACTTCCTCAGATGACAAAAGTTGATATAATTATGTAACTGGTCTCATTTCTAAGCTCAACCTATTACTACTAGAAATACTTCTCAACACACACACACACAAAATGATACTCCTTTCCTTAAAAATCTTCCTTCTTACAGAACCAAATGAAATATTTGCATGGCATTCAATAATTTAATAATACATAAAAGAGGGAAAACTAGTTACTGGAAGGAGTCATGGAGTTTACAATCATTCTACAACCATCATAGTAAAAACTGATTCAAGCAAGAAGCATAATCAAATGCCAGATTTACACAGTAGAAAACTTATGAGGACTAAATGATTTTGACTTACCTCCCCACCAATTATTCAAATACAAAAATAAAAACAGCGACTAGACATGGGAGAAACTAGTCAAATGATCAAATTATTACAATAAGGTACAAAGGGACAAGTGCCTCCTGATAAGATACCCTACAGATACACCACCTATGTAGTATTCCAGCCCCAAATCTACATTAATGTAATCAATCATGAAGAAAATCAGAAACTGAGGAATACTGTATAAAACTGATTTAAGTGTCAATGTCATGAAAGACAAGGGCAGATAAACTATTCCAGATTGAGACTTAACAAATAAAAATGCCTCTCTAGCGCTGGTGGAGTGGCTCAAGCGGTAGTAGCCTGCTTGGCAAGCATGAGACCCTTTGTCCAAACCCCAGTACAGCCAAAAAAAAAAAAAAATGCTTTTCTAAATTGGATCCTACTGGGAGAAGGGGAGGAATTAGAAAAAAAAAAAAAGACATTAGGAAGGGTACTTGTAATTATCAATGTTAATTTCCTCAATAATTATACCATGGTTATGTATATCCTCATCCTTCAGAATATTAAGAGATGGCAGGACATTTGTACATGTAACTTAGTCACAGATCATTCATAAAAAAATGCACATATACATCACAGAAGAGGCAACTACTATTTATCCCAAGCTCAGAAGTAAGCTTATGATTGTTTAGATTCCAACATATTCCTAAAAGTGCATGTACCAAGCATGTTCACAAAAATTGCTTCCGGTAACATCTCCATTATCATAGCATTTTAATTAGTTAACATTTCAATTTGTACCTAGGTATCATGAGCTTGTTAGAAATGGGTCCACACTCTGAACGTTAGTCCTGAGTTTCTGATACAGTAAAAATCTATCCACTTCTCAATTCCTGCTCCTGTTGACAGGAAGACTGGAACTGGAGACAGATCAAACTTGGGTTCCAGCAAGGCAAAATGCCTTCTGAAGAACCAAGTCCAGAGATGTGCTATTCACACACACAGGGTGTGCACTCTACAGTGTCAGAGGACAGCAATTACTCTTTAAGAGGGAAAAATTACCAGCAAGTGCTGGTTGTCACTTGCCTTACCTAAGTTTCTACCCCTCTGTACACATTGCCCATCATTACTACAAATTGGATGGGCAGTGAAGGCCTTATACTAGCTCAGAAAGCTGAGAAAATTTAATCTAACTATAAAATACAGTAACAAGTTTTTATTCTGTAAACCCAAGGTTCATTAATGAGCAAATATGAAAGGCAAAAATCAAGATAAAATCACAAGTCACAAAACCACTGAAAACCAGAGGTAAAATCATGGACAATAATTCAAATGTACAATTAAAGTAATATGCTGTTAAGTGTTTCACTTGTGAAAATTAGGGGAGAACACCCCAAAATATCAGGAAAATAGACAGTTGGAAGAGAAACAGAAGGGGGAGTGGAGAGAGGAACAATAGTGGAGAGGTGAATATGATCAAAGTACACTGTATGCATGTACATTCTACACATTGTATGGAAATGTCATAACCAAGCCCCTTACTATGTACAATAAATATGCACCAATTAAAAAATGTCCTTAGACTAAAAGTTTGTGGATAGTGAAACTTCCTGCAAGCAGAAAGTTTAGTCAATTAAGAACATCTCTAGCACCTACTCACTCATCCAGTGTTTTAAGAACTTCCAATGCGCACCAGTGAAAGGAAATACTAGTACACACATACATGGCTGTCACAGGTCTTCAAAGACATTTTAAAATCAATTGCCAGTTGTGATGAGCCCACTGAAAGAACCTGGGGTTGTTCACAAAGCAAGTCATTAAGAGAAAATAATGAGTAGGGGGCACACTTTATTAATTAGGCCAGGATATTCAGTTCCAAGCAGAAAAAAATATGCCATGTATGAAGAAGGCTCTGATGTAGGAAGGGAGCAGCACCTCCCTACGCCTGAAGCCAGCAAGCTTCAACAGGACTAGAGTCTCATCAGGCAGATTTGTAAACCATTATCATGCTGTGGGATTTTCTGTGTTGCTGCTTTTAATATCCCAAAAATGGGAAAAAAAAAAAAAAAAAACATTTGAAGACCTTTTGAGTGCCGCCTCAAGAATAAACAGAGCAAAGGAGTGGGCGTGGAACAGAATGTTCTATTAAAGAGCACAGGTGAGAAACCTCGGCTGCCTAACTGGATGAGGGGGCTAAAGAGAGGAAGCAATCACACTTGACAGTATTTTGGCTTGAATAGCTAACTACAAAGTGGTTACAATTTCAAAGTTTATTCCCTGATCAACTATAGTCTTTAGAGCTTACTAAAAATTGCCACCAACTTTAGATTCAGAGATTACACCATTTTATACGCTTATACAGAAATTGTACTTGCTCTTCAGAAAACTTACTAGTTTGTAATGCTGTATTTACATAAATATCTGTCTTCACTCAGTAATCTGTAAGACCTATGAGGGCAGGGAATTTATCTTTTTCTATCACTATTACAGACCTACAGAGCAACAGGCACTGCAATTTCCACTAATGAATGAATGAATAATTTTGGTAATGACCCTAAAGCAAAAAACATCAAGTATAGCTGTGACACATTTATAGGGATCAGTAGTGCTAAGTTTTCCCTCTTTTTTAGCCCTGAAGTTCCATATGTGAATTTTTTTAAGAAATGCATTTTGCATTCTTGACCCCCAACAGACAAAAACGTTTAGATGGAAAACAGTATGAAGTGGATGAAGATAAAATGAATGAATATAGTAGCAAGGCAAACTAAAACTTGAATTTAGATGTAATTCAAGCTCTGCTGTTCACTGGCAATCCTATCAGGTTAGATGTAGAGCAATTTTATCTTCTCTAAAAACAAGATAAAAGTAAGTATACCCACTTTGTATAAAAGAACTACCTAAGTAAAAGATTGTTTTGGCAAAGTCTTTTCCTGTTTTAAAGTAACTTAAATGCTCCCAAACCATATTTTGCTAAAGACAGAAAGCAAATAAATATTCCTCAAAATCAGACTAAAGAATGAAATAATCATTGAAACTGTGAGGCATCGGTAAATGTTGATGGCTTATTTTCTAAATTTTGGCTCCAGTAAAATATTTTTTTTTTAAAGAAAGCAGTATTGCATAGGAAATTTTCTGAATTCTTAAAGTTTTAACTATTTTATTTTTCTTTTTCTGAATACACATTTGTTTTATTGGCAGTCCAGACAAACAAGTATATAAAGGAATTATTAAACTTTTCTTTTGGCAAAATTCAAGATAAACTGTGCAGACTAAAATGCCCCAATTTAGCCTGAAGAAATGGTTTTGACGCATACAAATTCTTAAGAAGAAAAATTAAAGACTGTCCAAAGGGAATTCTCCTAGCTTATAACACATTTCCATAACAACTCTCAAAAAAAATTCAAAAATACTCATTGACTACCTTAAAAATATGTTAATACCATATGGCTTTATGAAATAACTTCTAAAATTTACATTTTTTTTTTATTTAAAAAGGATCTCGAGCTTTAAATAAACCACTAGCAATATCATTTTCTTCACTTAAAAGTGCGTATCTTTGAGGGCTGGACATACATACTTTATGAACAAATAATGATTTTTACAAATTAACACAAAAAAAAATCACTTAAAATAGTTTAAGAGGAAAAAGTTTTCACCAAAAGCCACCTTTAAAAAGACCTTGTAGATGACACTGTTCTCTTTCTTCTTTTCTGTACCATCAAAATTCTCAATGAGATGCTTTGGCAGTTAAGACATATCAGTCTCTACCAAGAGACACTGACATTAATGATGTCCGTGGAGATGGCAATTGCCTTGATGGCTCAGTGTGAATAGATACATTATTGAGCTGGTTCTCCAAATCAGAGGCAAAAGTGCTCTCTTCTCTTACATCCAGAGTCTGTTCAACTGAGGCTGCCTGAGGTGGAGTACTATCCATAGTTCTGTTGGCATTATTCAAGTTATGAGTGAGTGTGGTAATATCACACTCCTTGTCCAGGACACCAAATTCATCTTCTATTGTGACTACATCTTTAGTTTCAAACGGTTCCAAGGAAGGAGCCAAAACCTCGCTTTGTAGAGGATCTGACGGACCACTATTATCACATTCCACATCTGCCTTTACTTCAGAATCTTTATCGCTATCACTGTCAATGGTAATGACAACTGGGGAACGGGAAGTATTATCTCCATGGTGTTTCTTATGCTTTTTCTTGTGTTTCTTCTTTTTCTTTTTATGATGCTTAGTTATATCAGTAGCTTTCCCTTCATAAACTATCTCTACACTTAGGCTCCGAGTCCTCCTTTTCCTCCTCTTATGTTTTGTCTCTCTGTCTGATGATCGGCTGTCTGAAAAGCTGTCACTCTCATTTTTGTAGTTTCCGTCCAGTTTTGAGGAAGATTTTTGGTAATGATTGTCCTTTACTTTAAGAGGAAATTCACGAGATGGTTGAGCCACTTCATTAGTACCTTCCAAGTGCCGTGTTTTGTATTTTCGTTTCCCTCCAGGCTTTTCATTTCTCATCCGGTCAGGTCCTGTAGATGCAGTCCTTGACCTATTACTAGACAGGCTCCTTGATCTGTGCCTTTCATAGTAATAGTATTTCCTTTCACTGTGATTATTTTTTTTCCTAGCATTTGTTCTTTCAGAAAAAGACTGAATTCTAAATTCTGGACTTGAAGATTGTCTAGAATAATGGGCTCTGGACAGAGTCCTCCTTCTATAAGATGATTCGTAGCCATCCCTGTCCTTGTTTCTACTGTAGTAAGTATATTCCCACTTATATCTGCTTCCATAATTATTCCTCAAATAGTAACGATCTCTATTTCTGCTCCGTGATCTTCTCTTGCCATGATCACTGCTACGAGACCTTGATCGGCTTGTGCTTTCACTACTTAGAGAAAGAGTTTGGCTTCTTCTTGACCAGCTGCTATCTCTAGTTCTGGATCGCTTCTTGTCTCTTCTCCCTCTAGGTCGGCTACTACTTTCCCTGCTTCTGGATCGCTTGCTCTTCATTCTTTTCTTCCCATGATGCTTCCTATGATTCCTCTGATCATGTCCACTTCTACTCTGGGAACGTGAATCTGAGCTTCTGGATCTTCCCCTCTTTCTGTGTCTATGGTTATATGGGGAATATACTCTGTCTCCTCTCACTGATGAACTCAGGTCTCTTGGAGACGACAATGATGCAGATCGTTTCTCTTCCTTCTTTGATTTGATTCTTGTACCAGAATCACAATGATCTTTATTCACTTGTTCATCCTTTCCAAGGACAGAATGTGGAGATGAACATCTACTAACATCACTATCACCAGAACTGTAAGACTGCTCTTGTTCTTGTGTCTTCACTGTCTCTATTTTCTCATAAGAGCCTAACTCCTCAGAATCAGAAGACAGTTCAACAAGTTCTGGGGTCCTCTCAGCTAGTGGTTTAACAAATCCAACAATGACACAATTATCTGAAGATGAATCACTGTCATTATGTAGTTCCTCATTAGTTTGTACTCCTTGTATCTGAGATGTGGCTCCTCCTGTGACAAGTTCTTCATCTGAACTATCGGAAGTATTTAAAAGAGAAGACATGGCAACATGTACCTGCTCTGAGCTTGAGTAAGATGGCCCTGGAGTTTCATCATCCCATGGGGCCTGACTAACAGTGGCTACATTAATATCTAGCTCTTGGGTTTCAGTCTCATCTGGAGATATTGTTATGACTGAAGAATCAGAATGGCTGCCTTCTTCATATGAAGGAGCAGGGCAATCATAATTAGCATGCTGGTCAAATGCTGCCATGTTAAAAGGAGACCGAGCAAAACTGATAAATTCATGTATAAAATGCTCAGTTCGATTAAGCAAAAATGGTCTTAAATCAGAAACAAACGCCTGACTCTCCAAGTCGTAGCGAGTAACATTACTCATAATGATGTGCTGGACGATATTGACTAAAGATCCATGAGCTCCAAAAAGCACTGTAAGTTCACGTTTTAACCAAGGAACTAACCGGTGAAGGCAAGCTGGATTTCTGCGGAAAAATTCAGCTGAAATATCCCTGTAACGGCCACCATCTTCAATATTTCTAACTCTAGCACCAGCACGATAGAGAGTCCGTCTAAAATTAATAATATCTTGTTCTTGAATTTTTCTCAAAGATCTTTCATCTGCAGTGGTTGGCCTACTTACTGCAACCTGTCTCATAAACTGAGGAATTTCAATATCTCTAGATCTTGCTGAAATGTCTAACCCTTCAAAGAGCACTCCATTATCTGGTGGAGCTGTTGTTCTTCTATTTAAAGTACTACTAGGTGAGTAAAGAGCATTTCGTTCCCTTGTCATAGTTGTATGGTAACGTAATCTTCTAATATCTGGGGTGGCAAAAGAACCATTATATGAAGGCCTCAGGACATATTCCTTAAAGTCATCTTCTGCCCTCACAGAATGGAAAATAGAGTCAAAGGGCTGCTTACATAGTGGACATTCAGCTTTGTTTTTTGACCACTCCTGTACACAGCGAAAACAGAACTTATGTAAGCAACGATCCAAATAAGATACATTATCAAATCTATCCAAGCATATAGGGCACTTAGAATCAGGAGATGCATCAGCTGGTACTGTCTGCTGAAATTTGCTAGTGCCAGCTTTAGGTGAAAAGTTGTCCATTTTAAAGTCCTTAGCAGCTGATGCCATTATCTGTAAAAGGGAAAGAAATATATTAGTAAGCTGATAAACAATCACTAAAAAAATCCAAACAAAAATTCAAGCAAGACTCTGAAACATATTCTGGTGAAAATAAATATATGAGTGGTTTATTTTTATGATATAAGCAAGAAGCAAAATAATTTTCGGTGCTTTTAAAGAACAAACTCTAAGTCAAATTTCCTAAGATTGAATCCTCAACACTCAGTATCAGTATCAGTGTTACTATGTGCTTTAATTTCACAGGTTTAAAAAAAATGTGAAAAGTCATTAGAAAAGGTGTCTGGCACATAGTAAGCTCTCAATATTCTATCATTCTTTAACAGGTGGGCGGCACTACCACACCTGGCTTCTTCGTTGAGATGGAAACTGCTAACTTTTTTGCCCCAGCTGGCTTTGAACTGTAATCCTGTCAATCTGCACCCCCTGAGTAGCTGGAGTATCAGACCTGAGCCCAGGTTTGGGCAGTAACTAACATTTTTTAAATCTGTTATTCCAGATGTGTTTAAATGACCCTTATCTCCCTTTCCTATTCCTCTGGAAAACAAAAGGCAAAACACCACAGCTCTTAGCTAATATTATTTCTATGTATGATTTTATATCTTTCATATACACATGCACCTAACACAATATACGCTCATTTATTTATGATAATATGGTATATTTTTCTTTTTTTTTCCCCCCGCAGTATTGGGGCTTGAACTCAGAGTCTACACCTTGAGCCATTCCACCAGCCCTTTTCCGTGAAGGGTTTTTTCGAGATAGGGTCTCACAGAACTATTTGCCCAGGCTGGCTTCGAACCATGATCCTTCTGATCTCTGCCTCCTGAGTAGCTAGGATTACAGGTGTGAGACACCGGCACCTGGCTGGTGTATTTACTTTCCTAAAAACAGCTTAGTAAGAAAACTTAAATAATTTTTTTAAAAGTTCACCTGTTTAAACAACTTCTACAGTTTTAAGTGAAAGATTCACTAAAAAAGGACCTTTTGGTGAAGAGTAAATGAAATAAATATGAACGCATTCCAGGGCAGTGTCTAGCTCATAGTAACTGCTATGTAAATGTTAGCTGTGGCTATCATCATAATGGTATCATTATAATACTATTATTTTTATTACACTACTATTACCACACACTATATTCAATTAGTTACTGATTCTTTCTAAGTAATTCTAAGAAGCCTTCCTTAGCTTATTTCATACAAAGTCAAACCACAAAAAGTATCCTGAAATCACCAGGATGTGAAAGCAGTTTTCTTTACATTTATCAGTTACCATAGCATGAAACATACAAAACGAGATTTCCTAAGATGAAATCTAACATGCATTATACTTTGGACTTGTTATCTACAACTCTCTCTTTTGCTAGATTCTGTACTAATCATTTTGTATGTATTAAATGTTCATTTTTCCCTTTATGTTTTCTTTGGTCTATCATTCATCTTTTACCTCCTTCCATCATAGGAAGTTGTACTACCACTGTTCAAATGTTAAGTCAGTTAAATAACAGAACTGCAATTTCCTAGATAATATATTCATCGGTCTTAACAAACTGTAAGAAAACAAAACCCACAACAAAAACTTGTATTTGTAAAATACAAGTATTCTATCATAAGTTTTTCAGCTTAAACTTCTCATATAAGGAATCTTGGCCTCATCAGAACTGTAACTTTTATTTATTTATTTTTCTTTTTGGTGGTACTGGGGTTTGAACTCAAGGCCTCATGCTTGCTAGGTAGGCACTCTACAACTTGAGCCACTCCCTGTAGCTTTTAAAAGGGAATCAATGAACAAATATTTCCACTCTTCTATTTTCTGGAATAGAAACTCAAAACTCAACACTGTTTTTATTTAACAGGTCTTAGAAAGCAGAATTATAAATTCATAATACTGATTGCTTTTTTGTCTGTCTGTTTTGGTGGTGCTAGAGAATTGAGCCTAGAGACTTGTACATGCTAGTGTTCTACCTCTGAGCCACACCCACAACCTTATCAATATATTAAAACTCTAAAGTTTTTATTGAATAAATTTCTCAGCATTTCCCTCTACTTACAATGCTTTTTTAGTTCACCCATTCAAAGGGGGAATAAATACCCTAAAGAGAAAAACAAAAACCTACAGGCTCAGACAGCACTTGTACGTGGGCAGAGGAAAGGAGTGGGAAAAAAGCGTGAAGGAAAGAAACTGAAGGAAGACATTACAAGAAGACCTGGACTAAAGACCAGGTTTCATTTAAAATTTGCTCTGTAAACCAAGAGAAATTCACATTAACGCTAGACTTTAAGTTTTCCCTTCTATATAACGAAGGGGTGGTTGTACTGGTGTTTGAATCAGGATTTGGCACTTGCTTAGGTAGGTGCTCTACCATTTGAACCACATCTCCAGCCCATGAAGAGATTATCAGGCTTGGAAAAAGTAAAAAGATTGGTGAATTTCAAGCTAATATACTTTATTTTAATTTGTTTCTCTGTAAGGCACTTTTAGTATTTACTGAATATTTTTAATTCACTCAAAAAATTACATTCTAGGCCTGGGACGTAGCTCTGTAGTAGAGTGCTTACCTAGCATGGACAAGGACCTGGGTTCTATACACAGACACCACACACACACACAAAACTGTTACAACCTAGAATGAATTAAAGGAAATTAATAGGTAGCAAACAAAATCTCAATTGAAGTATGATTTCTTAAAAAAAAAAAAAAAATCCTAAGTCTTCCCTAGTTTTTATAAGCCTATTAACCACTTCGGCAGCATAAGGCTAAAGAATGACCAACAATGTCCTTTAGTTCTCTCTTGTGTTTGTACACAATATATTTAGTTACAAAGATACATCAGAAACATAAAATAATGGTGATACTAGATCATCAAATAAAGGATTATCTCTTATAATCCGGACTAAATACTAAAATTTAAGTGTTAAAATACAAATGTAGAATTATCATATGACCAACAATTCCACCCAGATATTTATCCAAGAGAAATTAAAACATATGTACAAAAAAAAACTTTATGTGATTATTCACAGCATTAATCCAACAGCTCAAAAGTGGAAACCAAAATGCCAATCAACATAAAACTGAATTATCTGGCAATAAAATAATGAAGTATTGATACATGCTACAACATGGATGAACCTTATATAAATGGGGAAAAAAAGTCACAGGCAACTAGATATTTTATGAAGCCATTTATATAAAATGTCCAGAAGAGGCACATCTATAAAGAGGGAGAAAGTACACTGGTGCTGGTTTCTTTCTGAGATGATGAAAATATTCTACAATTATATTACAGTGATGGTAGCATCATTCTGTAGTTATGCTAAAAACTACTGAATTATGTAAGTTAAACAGGTGAACTTCATGAATGGAATGCAAGCTACATCTCAACTAAGCTGTTTAAAAACACAAGTTAAGGCAAGAAACTGTTCTGGCCACAAAACAGATTAAGATTGGTAGGATTCAAAAGAAAGGTTCTGGATTTAGGATGCAAAGGTGTGTACCTATTTATATTTAGTACTTCAGGTTCTAGAAAAGGCCCGTGTAAAGGTTTCTTTACCCTGGCTTCCTCTATCTAGGAATTATGACTACAAATTTCTCTACATTACTCAGTTCTTTTGATTCTGGCTCCTAAGCAGCCTCCCAAATCCAAAATAAAGTTTACCTTTTTTTAGGTTGAACCGCTTAAACCAAACCTTTTCTTTCTCAAATCTTCAAATGTGTTCAAACAAAGCTAACCCTTCAAAGCCCAATTTGGGGAAACATTAGGTAATCAACTGGCACACATTTCTGAGGAAAATAGGTAGAAGAAATAAAGGCTGGAATCTAAATAGTGACAGCCACATATTTGAAAAATATGAACTAAGACTGCCTTGAGAAATTACATTTTTTATGAAGTCAGACTTCCTATAAAGGTCATCTTCCATGGTTGTCCTTACATTATCATTGCGTGTAAAATTTATACATCTGAGTGAGTGATGTTAACTCTAATGCAGCACCAACATGGAGAATCATCACTTCTAAGGTGCACATTTCTCAAAACCTTAATGAATTCTGAAGTGTGGTAAGTAACAGCACCCATTTGAACAGGTGGTTGTAAGAAGGGACAATTTCAACCAAACACTAGCACAATGCTTGGTACATGTTAACTCAACACCGTTCCCCAATGTTGTGTGAAAGTAAGTTATGGTAGTAGTGACCATCACCCATTATGGATACAGGCCTAGACACAGCACAGCTATATTTATTTTATTTAACGTATCTAGTAGGCATAGTGGCTAAAAGTTCACAAACAGATAACTAGAAAGGCACCATAAGTGTTAAAAACAATCTGGTCCTACTCTGTTACCTTAAAGATACCACTGTCTCTCTCTCTGAACTACAGGTTAATCACCAACTCCCAAGAGGATACAAAAGTTACAGGAGTTACTGACCAGATCTTACCAAATTTAATTTCAATTCCAGCAATAAAAAGAATTGCTTGGTAAATGTTCCCCGCTAAAGCCACTCATTCCAGATAAACATGTTTGTGGCTGACTGTGGAGCATTGCATTTCATGTACTAAAAGCAAAAAAAAAAAAAAAAAAAAACAGAAAAACTTCACCATTATTAACTTAAAACCTGGGTAGCTCTTTCCTAACACACTTTAAATGATCTGGAAAACTCCCTACCAAGAATTCTACTCCGTTTTCTTCTTAAATCACTCCATGCCTCGGCTGGGCACTACCCGCTTCCAGCCCAGGGAGAAGAGCTGTGCTAACTGAACCACTCCAATGGTCCTGGGCTGCGAAGTGCAGCCGCGCCATGTGCTTACATAACCACGACCAGCCACAACACTGGCGTTCCCATTTTACAGACAGGCTCAGGGGTTGGGGCCTGCCAAGGTCACAGCCCCCACCCGCGGCGACGCCACGACTCGCAGACCACGCTCTTTCCAGTACACCGCTGGGCTCGCGCCCCTCGGCAGCGCTACCAGAAACGCACCCTCACCCGCCCACCCGCGCCAATCCACAGGTGCGCGGCGGAGGCGCCCGCCAGGCCCGCAAGGCCCAAGGGCCGGGGTGTGCGGCCCGCGTCCGTTCCACGGGGGGTGCCGACTCGCCGAACCCCGGCCCCGCTCCCCATTGTTCCCAATCTGACTCACTTCTGCGGACGCGGGCGCAGGCCCGGCTGTGGCGCTCGAGGCGAGCTCCCGGCGGCCCAAGAAGCTGGGTCGGTGACGGCAGGATCCGCGAAGACGTACTCGGCGGCTTCTCCGCCTACCCTCGGGGGCCGGCGCGGGCGGGGGCGCCTCGCCCTCCTCGCGAGACAGTGGAGACCCCGGCGGCTGCTGCGACCCCTGTGACGTAACACGCTCATTACCAAAGGCAGCTTGGGGGCGGGGCAGAAAGCGAGACCTACCCCCTCCCCCCGCCGGGCGCGTCAAAACACAACGCCGGCTTTCGCGACGCATGCGTAGTAGGCAAGCGTCCGCACTGAGGGCGGGGCTTAACGAGCTTGGCGAGACCCAGCCCTTCCCCCATGGCTCCGAACGGGAAAGGAGCAGCTGGACCCTCCGAGGCACAGATTATCATCACTCGTTGGGGGTTAGAGGGACATAGACTTAATCTCCGCTCCCAATTTACCCAAAAACACAACTACTAGCTCCAAACTCTTCGAGAAGTTATTAAAATTATCTTCAGATAAACTGTTATAGCTCCAGTTGCACCGCTAGAAAGCAACACGAATTTGCATGATATCCAAAACCAGGATCCTACAGTCTTCGGAGATTACCTGGGGACCAACAACAACCAGGGTCTAGGCTCTTACCTCAAACAGTGCTTTTCTCAAGGAGCTGCTTTCCTCCTTCCCACCTCCCGAAATCTGAGCTAAAAACTCTTGAAATCATGGCTGAAAAGAGGAGGAAAGTCTGCGCCTAAAGCGGCCCGTTGCCAGATTCTAGCACTCAGCCTAACAGGTGAACGCCCCAGCTCTCCGACGCCGGACACGGGGGCTCGCGTGCGAAACCGCCACAGCGCGGCTCCCGCCGCCCGCCGCCCGCCGCCCGCCGCCCGGCTGCGCACGTCACAAACGCCCCGCAGACACTTGTTGACTGGCCGTGCATTATGCCGCTAACGCACGCCACGCACTTCTTAAGAATACGTTTTACATCAATAAGCTGCTGTACTTCAAAAAACATCCGTTTCTCTAAAGGGCTCCAAGCAGAGATTCCAACGATTTTTCAGTTAGAATAGCGGGAGGGGGTGGTATTCTTATATATACCGAAGGTGAACTTACGAACGTTTATTTGGAGACTGATTCAGGGAGTGGGAGACGTTAATTCTTATGTTAGATGTCGGTGTAACGTTTAAAATGTGGATTCTTTTTCAAATAAACTTTTAAGTGATACACACGACGGTACATTATTTTGCGTTAAGAATGCGCTGCAACTGGGGAGAAAGGGAGTCGCGGAGGCAAGCCTATTGTCTCTAGGCGGCAATGAGGTGGGAGGACGCAACTTTAAACATTTTCTCCTTTATTCCACTCCCTCCCCGAAGGCGGGCTAGGCCCTCGGGCACGTCACCGCGCCAACTCCGGGCGGAAGAAGCCGGCGGGGCAGCAAGGAAGCGGCGTTGATAGCGTGTGGGCGGGCGAAGGCGCCCGGCTCAAAGATGGCTGCAGGCGCCCGGAGGCCACCGCCCGGGAGCTTACTCTAGGGCCCACAGCTTCCACCCGTTCCCGCGCACCGCCACCCCTCCTTACCATGAAGCCAGTGAGTCGCCGCACTCTGGACTGGATTTATTCCGTGGTAGGTCTGGGTCTGGTGGGGCTCCAGTGTCGACTCCCCAGGTCCGCAATCAGAGGCCCTGTTTGTATTCAGCACCCAGAAACTCCAAAACCCATTTCTGAATTAAGCGTTTCACTCCCTCCGCCCGACTCCGCCTCTTCCTGGAGGACGCGCTCTTCCGCTTCCTACGTAAGGGTTGCGGGGACGCTCGCCTCTGGAACCCTGGGCTGGCGGCTGAAATTCCCTTCCCGCGGGCCCCTGGCAACCAGCGGGGCGGAGCCACGCACGTCAATCCTTCCGTTTGGCTCCCTCCCCCCCCCACTCCCCACAGTTGCTGCTCGCGGTCGTCCTACTCTCCTGGGGATTTGTCATCTATGCATCCACTGTAGCTGCGCGACGGCAGCTGGAGAAGCAGTACCCGGGCCAGACCTTCGGGATGAACGAATATGCCTAATTCTGCTGGGCTTAGTTCTCTGCAAAGTTCTTTTCCTCATCCTTGTCTGACACCCGCGTAGATTTAAAAGTGAATTTTATAATACAAAATTTCCAAATTTATTTTCGCACAGTCCTTTGTAATAAGCACTAATTTTTCAAAGAGATGTAATAGCATTTGAGTATGAGATCACAGAATGAGAAGCTTTCAATTTAGTTTCTAAAATAATTCTTTAAAAATGTGAGAGCCGCCTTTAAAACAAAAGTGAAAAAAACCAAGTGTGGAATTTTTGTTCTTATATATGTGTATTGCAACATTTCATTATGTTCCATACACTCATACCAAATTAAAGTACTGTGTAAGAAGAAAATCATGTGACTAAATATTTTCTACTTCCAGTTTTTCAATCAAGAATGGCCAGAAATGCCTGCCTTTGAGCAAAAGAATGGCCAGAAAAGAGTAGGTGGTTGCTCTTATCATCTGTTGAGAATTTGGTTTGGTTTTTTTTTTTTTTTCATTTTTCTTTTATTATTCATATGTGCATACAAGGCTTGGGTCATTTTTCCCCCCTGCCCCCCCCCTCCCTTACCACCCACTCCGCCCCCTCCCTCCCCCCCCCTCAATACCCAGCAGAAACTATTTTGCCCTTATTTCTAATTTTGTTGTTAGTAGAGAGTAGTATAAGCAATAATAAGGAAGGAACAAGGGTTTTTGCTGGTTGAGATAAGGATAGCTATACAGGGCATTGACTCACATTGATTTCCTGTGCGTGGGTGTTACCTTCTAGGTTAATTCTTTTTGATCTAACCTTTTTCTCTAGTGGTCCTTCCCCTTTTCCTATTGGCCTCAGTTGCTTTAAGGTATCTGCTTTAGTTTCTCTGCGTTAAGGGCAACAAATGCTAGCTAGTTTTTTAGGTGTCTTACCTATCCTCACCCTCCCTTGTGTGCTCTCTTTTATCATGTGCTCATAGTCCAATCCCTTGTTGTGTTTGCCCTTGATCTAATGTCCACATATGAGGGAGAACACACGATTTTTGGTTTTTTGAGCCAGGCTAACCTCACTCAGAATGATGTTCTCCAATTCCATCCATTTACCAGCGAATGATAACATTTCGTTCTTCTTCATGGCTGCATAAAATTCCATTGTGTATAGATACCACATTTTCTTAATCCATTCGTCAGTGGTGGGCATCTTGGCTGTTTCCATAACTTGGCTATTGTGAATAGTGCCGCAATAAACATGGTGTGCAGGTGCCTCTGGAGTAACAGTCTTTTGGGTATATCCCCAAGAGTGGTATTGCTGGATCAAATGGTAGATCGATGTCCAGCTTTTTAAGTAGCCTCCAAATTTTTTTCCAGAGTGGTTGTACTAGTCTACATTCCCACCAACAGTGTAAGAGGGTTCCTTTTTCCCCGCTCCTCGCCAACACCTGTTGTTGGTGGTGTTGCTGATGATGGCTATTCTAACAGGGTGAGGTGGAATCTTAGTGTGGTTTTAATTTGCATTTCCTTTATTGCTAGAGATGGTGAGCATTTTTTCATGTGTTTTTGGCCATTTGAATTTCTTCTTTTGAGAAAGTTCTGTTTAGTTCACTGCCCATTTCTTTTTTGTTCATTAGTTTTGGGAGAATTTAGTTTTTTAAGTTCCCTGTATATTCTGGTTATCAGTCCTTTGTCTGATGTATAGTGGCAAATATTTTCTCCCACTCTGTGGGTGTTCTCTTCAGTTTAGAGACCATTTCTTTTGATGAACAGAAGCTTTTTAGTTTTATGAGGTCCCATTATCTATGCTATCTCTAGTTGCTGTGCTGCTGGGGTTTCATTGAGAAAGTTCTTACCTATACCTACTAACTCCAGAGTATTTCCTACTCTTTCCTGTATCAACTTTAGAGTTTGGGTCTGATATTAAGATCCTTGATCCATTTTGAGTTAATCTTGGTATAGGGTGATATACATGGATCTAGTTTCAGTTTTTTGCAAGACTGCTAAACAGTTTTCCCAGCAGTTTTGTTGAAAGAGGCTGCTATTTCTTCCATCGTATATTTTTTTAGCTCCTTTTGTAAAGGATAAGTTGCTTATAGTTGCGTGGCTTCATATCTGGATCTTCTATTCTGTTCCTGGTTTGGTTTTTTTTGTTTGTTTGTTTTACTTATTTGTTAAGTTATCTGGAGTCACAAACTGTACAATGTTCGGGAAGAAATATAACACTTTTTTGAGAGTAAGTTTTATTAGCTACTTTTTCGGAAATAAATTCAGTAAATATAGCTACATAGGAACAAACTCGGGTTGTTATACATAAGCCTTTGAAATTTTAAAGTCATCTTCAATGATGCTGGTCAGAAAAATCTTTCATTGGTGGAATTACTTCTCCAGTCTCCAGAATTGTATCTCCCTAGGAAAACAAGAAGCATTAGTAGAAAAATCTGCAGAGGTCATGTAGTTTATTCCATCTGAGTCAGACTTTGCACTGAAAAGCTAGTTGAGCTCTGGCATTCACTTTAAAAAGGGCTTAGAACTTTGATCACACACATAAAAAATAAATAAATAAATTTTAAAAATAAAATAAAATAAAAAGGGCTTAGATAAAGCAGAAGCTGTCTAAAGATGAGTAAACAGTATTCATGAAACTAAGGTACAGTAAAAAAAAAAAAATAGACGTTTCATTCACAAACACAGTAATTAGAATGGGTGTGAAAGTTGTTTTCCAGGTGATAAGGTATAACCTTTGTTTATATAGCCCTGAGAAATAGAAGCCCTAGAAAGAAGATGCAGTGAAGCACTTTCAGTTGAATATAAGAAGGTAATGTATTCCCAGCAACTGAATATGCTTAAGCAATCACTAGTTTTCTGTTTGGTTTGGATACTGGAGACAGAATGCAAACATTGGGCAGCTAGCTGGTCCAAGTGTCTTTCCAAACCAGGTAACAGTACAAGGTCAAAAGGACATGGGCTTTGAAGCTAGAACCGAGTGGTGAGAATCTTGAAACCTGCTCTTACAAGCTGCAATAATATTTAAGCAAATTACTTCAGTTTCAGGCATATATTTAAGATAACAGATTCTCTATCAGCCTTACAGTTCCTGAATGGGTAGAGCAGAATTATCCACAACCCCATCCCCACCCCGGGCATTCCCTGAGCTGCTACTTAGGACTTGTTATCTGATAAATAATTTTGTTTTATGCTTATACCACTATACATTGTGATGACAATTTTGTTACCACACAAAACTTAGGGCATTGAAGTCATACTAATCCTGAAGTAGTAATAGAAATCAAATAATATGGCACTGGCTTAGTAGTCTCTTGGGAAAGACACAAGCCCTGAAGGCTAAAAAGATGGAAACAAAAGGCAGTGGTCCTTGGCTTGATGACACACACCTGTCAATCCCAGCACTCAGGAGGCTGAGGCAAGATGATCACAAGTTGAAGGCCAGCCTAGGCTACATATTGACACCCTGTCTCAAAAAAAAAAAGACAGTGGCAAACTACTTAGCAAAACGTATATAATAACTTGAAAGCAGAGTGCCAAATGAACTTGAGGTTCTAGAAGTGTTTTCAAAGAAAAATTCCCATTCCTTGGGAATGTACTTAAAGAAACATGAGCTCAGGCAAGAAATGGGTGTTTTGAGATGAGAAATAAAAAGAGATGATTAAAAATTTAGGACCAGGTAGCAAAAAATCAGATTGCTTCTAAATCCTAAACAATAAGAGTGAACACAAGATTTTGAGCAACAGAAGCTCAATAAAACTCTGTAAACAGTCTTGTAGCAAAGATCAGATTAAAGAAAAGACAACCTTCAAACCAGTCCACTTCAGATGGACTCCCGTAGCTCCACTGAGTTGAAAAGGGCAGGTGCATAAGCACAAATGAGAGAACTTGATAACTATGTATAGAAAGAACATTGGTGGCATATGGGACTGACTAGAAGCAAACAGACTAAATACCTACCAGGTATTTTTCTTTCTTTGCTTGCCAATTGTTAAGGGAAGTAGATAGTCAAAAGAACCAACATATAGACTACAAAAGCCCATGAATATGTGAAATTAAAACTTCTAGTATTCACTGAGAAGGAGGCAGATTTTGAAAGCTATATAACTCCTAAGAAGGGCATGCTTCCTATTTAGCTATGGCCTAGGTTGATAACTACAACAACCACCACCTCCAAAAAAACCCAAACACCCTGGACAGAGCCAGGAACCAAGAAGAAACAAGAAAGAACAAAGGTGTTTCTTCCAGAAAACAAAATCAGTGCCAACTCAAGTAACTCCGCATACATACAGGGGTTAAGACTCTTTAAAATATTTGACTACTAGTATTTCAGAACTTCAAGAAACAGACCGATGTGCTATCCAAGTTCCACTATTAAAGGATTGGGTATGGTTGGGGGGAGGGGATATAGTTAGTTTGCCTTCTTAGTTCATTGGCTCTCAAATCAAGAGAAGCCATATCAGAACCTGATAGATACTACTACACATCATCTGCAGATCTTGGATTTGGAGTTGGCTACAGTGATGGAATGGGACTTTGGGATTTCTCCCTAGGGGAGAAACCGTGCTAAGTATGTGGGGAGAAGGAAGCAAAAAGCTATTTGGTGACTAGAAGGATAGACTATGACAAAGATTCCATGCATGGGCATCTGGGAGATAGCCAAGAGCACATAGATATTTGGGAAAATGAGAATGAGTTCTGGCCAATAGGATTTGAGGAGAAGAGATGTAAGGTGCTTCCAAGCTTATACTTTAGAATTGTCCTGAGATATCCAGCTCTCTCTCCCCCTACCAGTCTTGGAAGTCATTCTAGATGCTCAACTATAAAGTTGAGGATTCCTGATCCACAATAGTCTGTGATATCAGTAAGAAATAAACTTGTCTGGTTAAGCCAGAGACTTGCAAGGTTGCTACTGCCTATCCAATTCTAAAACAAACAGGCATTCTTTAGTTTCCAAAAGAGAATATTCTCAAAGAGGTAAATGGCACAGAGACAGGAAAAAATTACAGTGACAAAAAATACAGAAACACAAGAAATGCTACGGAATATAGGTGGGTCTTCTGAAGAAAGTCCTTCTTTTTCTTTGAGCAGAAATGGCTAAATAAAGTAAACATATAAATGGAAGACTTAGTAAATACAAATTACCCAACTGATGAAACCAGCAAGATAATTTCCAATTTTGTGATTACCTAGCTTCTGATACACATTTGTTATACACAAGGAAACAACAGAAGAAATTCCATTATTTCTTAAAGTAGGGTTTCAGCTGGAACTACAATTTGGAGTGGTTCTTCTAAAATTCCCTTGTTGTAAGAAGTAATGGATTACTGTGAAATATGTCATTTAATTCAGACAAGAACCAGCACTGAGGGTTTTTATAGCATTTATAGTTATGATAGTTCATTATCTGTGACTAGAAATAGAAAAGAACATAACATGTATACTAACAATAACCTCACCAAGAGCCAAAAAAAAAAAATCAATGACTACTAAGTAGTCTTCATGATGAAAGAACTCATTTTAGGTCTTACATATTCATAGCATAACATTTAAGACACACATTAATGGGTTTTTAATTTACTGAGGGAAAGCTGCAGGTCAAACCATAAAAGTGAGACACAAGGCCACAGGAAATGAGTTTGGAAATAATAGAAATACATCTGCTATTACCATGCTCAGGTGCCTTCTCAGGTTCATGTCCTAAGTCCTTCACCCAACATCAAACAGGGTACCCATGAAAAACCATGGGTATCTTAAACTCACTTTAGCACTATCAAGGTCATAAAACAAGGTTGAGAATGTGTCCACTCCACTTTCATGTGTGGTTGCTGCCTCATACTATTTCTTCTTTCTCTTCTTTTTTTTTTAACACAGTAATACACAAAACAGGCACTTAAACTGATAGTGAGAAGAAAAGAACATTTTAATCTAACGAGTCTAATGATCACTGGGGATGTGGGAGAGAAAAGTAGTGAACAAAAGAAAAATCCGTTTGAGACTTACTGGGAATATTCTGGGCTTCCTTTCAACAATGGCATATGGTTTTGTCTGCAATAAAAGTGACTGTGTTAATTATAGTGTTAAAATTTCTTCTGGAAAAAAAAAAACGTATCTCAAATTTTAACTTAAGTCACAAACTTTCACAGAACTCCAGACTCATACTTCCAAGTGTTTATTCGACACTCTAATTAGCTATTAATAAGCATGTCAAACCTAACCACGTCCAACACTTAACTTCCCCCAGCCCAAACTGCCCCTCCCCATGTTCCCTATCTTAGTAAGCACACTTTCATTTCCCCAGTTCCAAAGGTCATAACCTTGACTCTTCAGCAGATCCTGTTGGGTCTATCTTGATAATGTACCTTGAATCCAAATGCTTCTATCCACCTCTAGAACTCCCACCCTCGCTCATACCTCTTGCCATTTTTTTCCACCTGAATACTGCAACAGCACCTACTGGCCTCCCTGCTTCACTCATGTCCTCCACAATGTACAAAGTACAGTGACCCTTATAGATTTATCACTTCTTTGCTCCAAGTTTCATAATTTAAAAAAAAATTAAATTTTGATATTTAAAAAAATTATCATTAATAGTACAACTGAGTTGCACTGTGACTGTATAGTATACTCTGAACAAAGTCACCCCTGCCTTATCTTCCCTTAGTCCCCTGTTCCTCCCCACCTTTTCAAACAGCATTTGGTATGTTTCATTTTGGCACTTTCATACACTTCAAGCTTCTCCACCTCCACCCTCCCACTGAGTCACCCCCCAATAGTTCCCCTTTTATATTCATGCCCCATTTCCATTACTACTATTGTCATTTTAGACCTAGATCCCACATATAAGCAAAAACATGCAGTGTTTGGCTTTTTGAACTTGGATTATTTCACTCAAAATGATCATCTGCAGTTCCATCCATTTTCCTGCAAATGACATAACTGCATTCTTCTTTATGACTAACACTCCATAATGTAAATATACATGGCATGTATACCACATTTTCTTTATCCATTGATCACTTGCTGGGCACCTAAGCTGATTCCAAAGGTTGACTATTGTATACAGTGCTGAGATGAACATGGGTATGCAGGTCCCTCTCTTGTATATTGATTTACATTCCTTCAGATTATGCCCAGAGTGGTATAGCCAATCATAATGTAGGTCTATTTTTAGTTTTTTTGATGAACCTTCATATGATTTTCAGTTGTTGCATTAGTTTACATTCCCACCAACCATATATAAGGGCTTCCCCCAACCCCTGCATCCTTGCCAGCATTTGTTGTGTTTTCTTGATAACTGCCAATCTGAGAGGGGTGAGAGGGAATCTCAAGTGTAGTTTTGATTTGCATTTCTTTTATGGCTAAGGACATAAAGTCTCATAATTTTTAAGGCAAAGGCAAAGTCTTTGCTGTGCTAAGACCCTACCTGATCTGGCCCCTGGCTGCTTGTCTGATCTCTTACCATTCTCTTCCTTACCTACTGTACATATAATCACAACCACCTATCCATTAGTCCATCAGTCAAGCCCGCTTGTGCCTTGAGATCTTTGTACTTACTGATCCTTCTACCTGAAATTCTCTTCCAGGTATCTGCTTGGCCTATAACCTCATTTCTTTTCAAACATCATTTCCTCAGAGAGAACTAATTAAGACAGCAGCTCCTGTCATTCTCTGGTTTTTTTTAGTCTACTTAAGTTTTCTACTAGAGACTTGACCACCTCCTATAGCACTATATATCTTTTTTTTTCACATGTCTATTACCAGTCTCCAAGACCAGAATAAACCCCCAGGGATGCAACTGTTTTGTTCACTGCTGTATCCCTGTTTGCCTTGCACATAGGAGGTGCTAAGTGATTATATGTTGAATAAATATAATTATAAAACATGTACACCTGCACAAAATTCCACAATAAAATATTTCGGATTATTGGCATGACAAAAGATATAAGACACGGGGAGCTGGAGTATGAGAGAAACTCAGAATACAATGTGAGAACATTAACATGTCTTTATTAAGAACTCTGGCCAAAGGCAAGATGTTGCAATGTCTTCAGAGAAGTTAGCTAAAGCAAATAGCCTACGATCTATTGATGATACCTACCCAAATCAGGACAAAGACTAAGGTGAGCCAGCAGCCTTGGGACCTCAACTGACACAAAATGTTCAACTAAATATGTCCATTTGTAGCCAAGGAAAATGGACTGGAAGTGTGAATCCATAATATAAAAGCAACCATATCAGCACCTTGTATTATCAACTTGATAAATGCAGCTTGTTAAATGTGCTTCTCCTAGAAGATAAGTATCTTTTCAATCCTAGGACAATTTAGTTATAGATATGACAAAGTAAATTAAACCCACAATATAAATAGATAAATGTTAACTTTCAAAAGTTCTGAAAACATTAGGGCAATCCACACATTCTGTGGCTATCATGTTTGTAATGTATAAAATAATCTGGCTATTGGAGGGTCTCATGCATAACTGATTTAAGCTTATGATTCTAAGTTGAAAAAAATTTTGCTTCTTAAGAGTCAAAAATTTGCCCTACACAGGACATGGAGATAAGAGCATTGCAATTTCAGGCCAGGCAGGGCAAAAGATTAGCAAAACGCTGCCACAAAAATAAGCCATGCATGGTAGCTCACACTTGTAATCCCAGCAACGTAGGAGGCAGAGGTAGGAGGAATGCAGTCTGAGACCAGCCCAGGTAAAAAAAAAAGCATAAAATCCCATCTGAAAACTAAAGCAAAAAAGGCTGGGGCCATAGCCAAGTGGCAGAACACTTGCCTAGTAAGTACAGGGCCTTGAGTTCAGTACCACCAAAAAAATGAGTAACAAAATAAATAAAACTGAAAGTACAAAATTTATAAGCATAGTTTAAAGCATTTAAAAGAATTTGATTATGTTAGGTGGAATTGTTTAGGAGTTCAATTAATCCAAAGATAGTAAGAACATCTTGTTTTATTAGATGTATAAATAGTTAATAGAGTTTTAAAATTGAACCTTAAAGAATTAAGAAAAAATAGGTTTTTAAATTTAAAACTAACAAATACTAATTTATATTTCAGGTAACTGTAGCCAATTCTTTGTGCATGTAAGTAGTTTCACTGACAGAAAGCAGTATTTTTCTCTAGGGTCTTACAGGCTAAAATAGTGAAAAAAAAAAACAACAGATGTATAGTGATATGAAGTGGCCAACAGGCCTGCAGGTAAACATAAAAAGATTAAAAAAAAAAAAGCCGGGCACCAAGTGGCTCATGCTGTAATCCTAGCTACTTGGGAGGCTCAGATTGGGAGGATCTCGATGCTAGCCCAGACAAATAGTTTGAGAGACCCGCATTTCCAAAATAATCAGAGCAAAATGGACTATAGTTGTGAGTCAAGTGGTAGAGTGCCTGCTTTCCAAGTTCAAACCTAAGTTCAAACCCAAACCCCCGGCCAAAAAAAAAGATTGTTAAGACCACTGATAATAGACATTGTAAACTATTCTCTGACCCTTAAAGACATAAATTGTCAGTGTCCTTTATTGGTTGCAGAAATATTTTCTGTTGTTTTATGAAGAAAAACACTTTAACCCAATTCAAATTCCTACTAGCCCCTACTAACCTCATGTTCCTAAGAGGGGCATGTCCACTTGCACATCTCCAGAAATTACCACAGCAGCACATAACCCTTAACAATTGTACCTCCTCCCTAGTTAGAAATTCTAATGTTAGCAATTTTGCAGTCATAAAGAACTCTGAACTTTGGTTTTATCCCCAACTTAATCAATTGCTAACTTCAGGTGTTTCTTCCTTCAAAAGTGTCTTCTGGCTTCACTTTTCATCTCTGCTGCCTTCATCCTAATCAGAGTCTCATCACCAGCTAACACCTCCCAAACTGAAACAGTTTCCAGTGATGTTTCAGATGTCAGATGAATTTCTGATGTCAGAAATTTCCTTCCTTCAATTCACAGAGAATCAAGGTTTTTCTACATTTCCTTCACATTCATCAAAAACACTCCCATTTAAAAATGGAGAGCATCCATCCTGTTTTCAAACTGAAAACAACAAAGAGTTACTTTCCATGTGCCCCAAAATTGTGTACTACTCCCTCCCTGGACCCCCATTTTCCAAGGTGATATCTCAGATCATCTTCATGCTATAGCAGAAGGCCAGTATTTTACACTGTACTGACTTTTTTCTATTTATGACAGCATAGTACAAGAGCTATGGTAAGATTTTTTACAGTTCATGAGTCTCTAGCCTTGGATCAGAACATGCTGCAGCTCAATCTTTTTTCAGTTCTTGTTAGCAGAGGCCATTGTATCTAAACTGAAATGTACAGAATCCACAATGCTATGTCCAAATCACGGACAATAAACTCAAGTGCATAAGAAAAAAAAATGGAGAGCGTCCAACTGACTATTGCATACAGTTCAACCTCTTCTGTCTAGTGTTCAAGACACTTCCCTAAATTGGTCCCAGCCTACTGAGTGAAGAGATATTTCATCCAAGTCATCTCCTCAGTCTTGGGTACATATAGCCAGGCTCGTTACTGACTTCATATCTTTTCTTATAACTGGAATAACTTTTCTCCCCAAATCATATCTATCTTCCAACATTATATTCATTCCTTGAGGTCAGGTATTTATTTCTATAGAAAGAATATACAAGAGTAAAGGAAGAGGACATAGTAGGTACTCCATACTTATTGATCAAAGGACATAATCTGCTTAGTAAAGAGAACAATGATGATGTCAGCAACCAGAACACTAAAGAACCTACAGAGAACAAACACTATACTAGGGGATTTTCTGAGGACCCCAAATATTTTTGGTTATTTGTCTCATGCTCCTTTCAACAGGCTAAAGCAAAGTCAACTGGATTATCTATAACTTGATAGGCAGTCCCTAACTGCCTTTGGATTTTATTTTGAAATAATTTAAGCTTATAAAAAGTTGCAAGAATGATTAAAAAAAAAAGTCTTAAGTCACTTTACAGTAAATTTCTGAATGGTTAATTGCTCTATTATTTGTAGCTCCTACAAATGAACACAGTATTCTTAAAATAATTACAATCCAACCATCAAGATCAGGAAATTCACACCACCACACAATTATTTCTACCTGGTCTAAAGATCCATTCAAATTTTACCAACTGTGTGTACAATTGTTTGGATTTCTCAGAATATCCCCCTTCATCACCTCTTGTTTTCCACTGATTATGTAGGCCCTTTAAATTTCTGTCAATGCCATCTTTGTTCTTTTGACCACACAGATTATGTCCATTAGTCAAAATTTCATTTAGTTGACATGTCTTTTTAGTCTTCTTCAATCTGGAACAATTCTTCAGACATTCTTTAACTTTCATGATCTTGACACTTTTGAAGATAACAAGCCAGTAATAATCATGCAGAATAGTCCACTAATTAGGGATTATTTTATGTTTCTTTATAACTGGATTGAGATTATACACTCTTGTGTTTTTCCTCTCATCACATCAATCAAGTAGCACATAATTTCAGTTTGTCCCATTACTGACATTAAGGTACTGCCTGTCAGACTTCTCCACTACAGTTAACTCTTTTTTTCCTATGTAACAAGTAAGTATCTTGAGGATAAATATTTTGAGATTAATGTTAGCACCCTCTGATACTCCTTGGCTGAATTAAATACTACTATGATGATTCTCAAAAGGTAACTTTTCTAGTTCTGTTGTTCCATGTCCATTTATTATTTAGCAACCTATTATATAAAACAGCTTTTTTTCCCTACCCATTGATTGATTTATTCATATCATTACAGGCTCATTGGTTTTGGTTTTATTTATTCAGATCACTCTCATCTATTACTACTATTTATTTTGATGCTCTAATTTTCCATATGACTCTGTCCTTTTGATATATCCCCACTTTGAGCACTTCTTTATGTAATGGATCAAAAATATGTTCCAAACTCATTTTTTCTTTTTCTTTTTTTGAAGGTGGGGAGGGAGAGAAATACTAGGGTTTCACACTTGCTAGGCAGGCACTCTACCATTTAAACCATTCTGCCAGCCCTCCAAGTTCATTTTGTACTTTCCCTGTCCCAGCCTTAGAATCAGTCATTTCTCCAAGAAGTTCTGCATCCTTTCTGTGGCAAAATAAATTTAGAAAACAAGGCATGGTTGTTAGTGTCCTAATAACTAAAGGGCAGTGCTGTTTCCAGGCCTTTTTAGTGGACAGAGCTAGGAAATATGCATATACAAACACATACACATTTACATTCATATTTAGTTCTATATCTATATGTGAATATGTAGATAGAAACCATGAGTTCATGCTAATATTTCCATTCTAGCACCACAAGGATTTCTCCTTTTTCATATATATAACTCATTTTCCCAACAGTAAGAATCCTGGAACCTTTTATCATCACCACATATAGTTATTTGATTGATTTCTTTATATATAATAAATCTCCTGTCACTATGACCATACCCTTCTCAGCTCACTTGGGTTCTGACATCTTACTCTGGGTTGCCCCTCCATCACTGCCCCCTTCCTCCTTTCTCCAGATGTCCTCCTTCCTCTGCCTAAGTTCAAATATCCTGGGCCAGGATGCTGCCACTGTTGCTCCCCAAACTGATGTGCTCACCCTTTTTCTCCCTCAACCCACACAGGATCGACACCCCCACACTCTGTTTGTGTTCTAACACTCCACACAGGGAATTCATCACTGCTCCCCACCCATACGATTCCAGAAACTACATGAACTCCTCACCTGCCTGGGATCTAACATCATGCACTAGACTGCACGCTCCCCAGACTTTAAAATCTAGCCACTGGCTCCATTCAATCAGCCCATGCAAGCTCTTTGAGTGAAAAAGGTCAAGTGTTTGGATATCTTGGATTCTAAAGGAAGAAAAGTGTGGAAAAAAATCAGACAAAAACAAAAAAAAGGCAAATGGGAAGATGACGAAGAGATCCTTTGTCTATTTTTAATTTTATCTTATACTAGATCTATGCTCAAAAAAAGGAGCAGAAATTAATTTTCCCCTCCTGCTCAGGACTCTTATGTTAATACTAATATTTTTAGGTTAGCTACACTCTGATCATTCAAACACTACTACTATAAGGAAATATATTTCAAGTTATAAACTAGGAATAAACAGCACTTTTTGAAAAACCATACTAATGTAAGAATTTACTTAAAGGGATTCAAAGTATTTCAATATCAGCTTATATATGGCAAATTACGTTCACTAACTAAAGAGTTACTAAAGTGACTAAAAGAGCATACTTACATAGGAAATTACTTTGGATAATATTAAAAACAACTTCTGAAAAACTCACACTTAAAACATACTTACAGTCACATGATATTTGACATAATAATGAACCACCCAGGCAGGTATAAGTACATGAGTAACAGCAAAGATACTGCTCCGGTATGCTTTATGGATCTGGGAGAAAACAACATATACACAAAATGAAAAGATACCCCATTTTTTATGTGTGTGGTACAAAAAAACAAACCAAAAAAACCCACCATCACTGGAATAATGTCATAAGTATACTACAAATCCTCTAAGTGGAAAATACTTCCTTGTAGTCTATAGCTAATCTTACCCACTCAAATATTTTTACCAACTGTAGAGGCTGCTATAGGATATCTACAGAGTCCAAAACCAGGCTTAGGATGAGCGGCATTCTGCAAGACTATATAGTAAAGCATTTATGTTTTTTTTTTTTTAAGAAAAACATTTATAAAAATATCCATATTGTAAGTTTGTTAAAGATGAAACAGCATAAAGAATGGAAGAATAATTTTAATGGATTAAAATTAATGGATTAAACCATGGTAATAAAACCTACAGAATTTTTCAGGTAAAGTCATCTCCCTAATTTATCAATTTTAATACCTACAATCAACAATGTGCATTATTCTAAGTGAAAGGTAGACAATCTTACACATAAACTGGAAAAAGAATGTTTTAATACTAAGATAGTGGTGTTCCAAACTCACTCAGAGATGCCTTCTGACATACTTTTTTAAAAGAGAAGTAAAAATGGAACTTTTTCATGGCAGCCAATTTGACTGAAATACAGCTATCCTTTGGGGATATATAACAATATTATAACAGTTATGATTGGAGAAAGAACAAAACGATTAGCAAAAGAAAAAACTGGAGGCAAAAAAAAAAAAAAACAAAACAAAAAAAAGAACAAAATAAAAAAACAAAAAAAAATACAATATAAAGAAACAGAGAACCAAAACAAGCCAGAAAAAAAAAAAAAACAAAAAAAAAGAAAAGTTAATTCACTGAAGAATTAAAGGTAAGACACGAACCTCAACAAATATATGTTTTACTCTTTAAAATCACAAGCTGATGAGTGAGATACCAACTTTCAATCAGAGATTGCCAAAATCAACAGGTAATGTCGGGGATACAAAGGGTAAAAGACTACTTGAATTAAAGAGTTGAGTTTTACCACTATAAGTATCTAATATCACCTTTCCTAGAAAAATTTACAGGAATTCTGTTGCACTAGACTTTGTAGCACAGTACCATAGTACATACATGTGGATTCCAGCATGAACTCCTTAAATAAGTAGCTCTGTGACCATGGGTAAATCACTGAATTTTTGTAGGCCTCAGTTTCCTCCCATTTAAAATGAGAATTAGGAACAGTTTCTACCATACAGAAGTACAGAAATGAAGGTAATGCATGTAAAAGGCTCAGCAGTGTACCAGGCAAGCACACAGCAAGAGCCCAGAGTTACTTATTAGGAGGATTACTATTATTACTGGCCAATGTTGTAGGTAACAAAGCAATTCTCACATTGTGTTCATCATTCACAGCTGAGGTGATTTAATTAACAGACTTCAAGAAAATACCCAGAATTCCTGAAAATAAAGACCTGCCTTTGAATGAGAGGTTAATTTTTCTTGTCTCTACGATCAAAGATCCAAGGAATGTAAATTTTACAGATAAGCTGAAACAATGTTTGTTAAAGTACACATGTCATTTAGAAAGGTAGGTTTAAAATTTGACTAAGTATATCGACAGTACCCTTGTCTTTTAATGCTATCACACTGAGCTGTACTACCAGTTGGGGTTCGTCGTGCTAAGGTGCAGTTAGTGGGTCTCTATAGCCTCAACCCTAAAAGTTGGATGAATGCCCCCAAATACAAAAGTCACAGAATTTTAAGTCCAGCGAATTCTTTCTACACGTGCATCGTCCTGTAAAACCCAAGATTCGCCTACTACTGGAGACACTGACTGCAAAGGGCAAGATTCTCCCAAAGCCATCCCCGCTCGGTGACTCCGGCTCCAGGACTCGGGGACAGGCAGCGTCCTGGCCCACCCCGAGCCCTCGGGAACCACGTCAGTGCTTGGTGTGACTGTTAATAAGCCAGGTCCAGTGGCCAGGCTGGGTTGTGCGTACCGGGAACCTCAATCACTCACCATGTTCTTCCAAGGGGCCGGGTGCTGCAAAAACTTATTCCAGAACGCCTCCATAGGCCATAGCTTCTGCGGGGGCAGCACAGGCTCCCGCGGGGGCTCAGTTCCTGGTCCTTCAGCCATCGCCTTCTCAGCTCCCGCAGTTGCTGCAGCCGCAGTTTCTCATCCGGCGTGTACCCCGTCATGTTGCCGCTGGGGTAAGGCAAAAGGACCCGGCGCACCCCCGAAACAGGGTCTGGACACTTGGGCGCGCACCCGCTCTGCAAAGCGACCTTGCGAGGACGCCTGGGAGCGGCGCGCGTCGATGACGTAACACCGGGGCTCACGTCTCTGCAGTGTCTCCAGAGTCCCAGCGACGACAGCAGAGTCCCGCGCATGCGCAGAGCCCTCCACACGACCTGGCTGTAAGGACTCAGGTTAAGGGAGGGAGATCGGGTCCGTTATGGGATAAGGGAAAAGTGACAGGTAAGAAAGTAAGAGAGTTCAGAGAACTGGCGGAAGAACTCATGAGCACTGGGAACCGGAATGATGAGCAGTGTGTGTTTCAATGAATGTGATGTCCAGTTGCAGAATTCTTTGCTTGCTCCCACCCTCCACCTTGGAATTCCTCTCTCCACGACCTAGAGTGTGAAGATTGTTACATCCAAGTTCAACACCCAGTCATTTAGTAACTGGTGAAGTGTCCTTGTGTTGCTGGAGGTTGCTAGCTGAGATATGAAACTCAGGCAATTAGCAGGAAGCAACCTTTTATTGTGCCAGCACAGACTCAGCGGACTCGTGTCCAAAGGCTGAACCCCGAGATCAAAGGGGTCTCACCTAATGTACCCTTGCAAGCAGGTTACAGAAGCAAAAACCAAAGTCTAATCCATATATGGTTATATTTAATTTTATTGGCTACTTTACCCTAGGCTTAACAGTGACATTTTTCCCTCCTCAGGCCTATGTACCTTCTCTGTTTGGATTTTTTTCAGGTGTTTATTTTCTCTTGCTATTGGCCATCCTAACTCCCTGGTTACTTTCTCAGGACTGGATCTAGTCTGGTTTTCTTTTATCCTCCTCCTGCTACATTATCCCCCCTTTTATGCGCGGACCCACTTTAGGTCAAGAGTATCATCTTTATTTAGGGGTTTGTTGCGGAGTTTGCTAGCTGAGATTAGGGAGTCTCTGAGGCAGCATTTAGCAGGAGCAACGTTGTTATTTGTGCTGGCACAAACCCAGCCGACTTGTGTCAAAGGTTGAGCCCCAGAACAAAGGGTCTTCACCTTAATACCCTTGCAGCAGCATTGTAGAAGCAAAAGCAAAAGCTCAACCCACATAATGGCTGCAGTGACTTCAGTTGGCTTTTCATTTTCCACCAGTCTATGTTGACCTTCATGTTTCCAATTTTTTAAGTTTTATCTCTCTGCTTTGCCATCCACATTCCAGTCTCGGTGGGCAGAACAACCAGGCCTGTCTCTTTTCTGGGCTCCCCTTTTTTGTACAGGGAATTTGTATTTTATACCAATTATGTAATTAGTGCAGCATACCGTTTTTTCTTTTATAATGGCCTTGTATAATAGGGCTGAGAGGACTGCAGCACCAGGGAACCAGGCAGGCAATATAAGCATGTGTCCTGGGATTAGGCCCATGGCCCCTATCATGGTTTTGAAACATCTACAGCAGAAAAGACCACCCTCTAACAGGTTCATTGGTATCCCATCCGCTCCAGTCGGACAGGGACTAGGCAAGCTTCGTTATTCTTTTTGTGATCTCTTTTTATACCTTTTTTTAGAATCAGTTATCTGTAAGCAGCAGGTGTTTAGGTTAAATTTTTTTACAGGACTTTCCCTCAGAAGCAAGCCAATAGTCTAAAGCCAAGTGGTTCTGAATAGATGGGCATTGTGCATCTTAGTGCTTTGTTTTTGCCAAACCAATCGAGGTGTTTGCAGTTTCATTGTGGTTGAGCATATACATAGGGGTCCGATAGCACCAGGACATTTTTTGTCCAGGTGGCAGAACCATAGTACTGGGTGATTTACTCAGGAGGCCATTTGTCATCTTTTTCCCAAGCCTAATGTCTCCCATGTTGGTCCCCCCACAAACATAGCATGAAGTGACATTTAGTGTCTGGGCTATAGACTCAGCCAGTAAGAGGAACGAATTTTTAGCTTTGGCAGAGATGGAAATTTTACTCCTCATCTCCTTATAAAAGGAGTGAAAAACTTAGTATAAGGAACTCTCATGGATAACAGTTACTAATTTGAAGTGTATCAGACTCTCAGGGTCAAGACCCTTTTTATCTATTGTTATACTACTTATTTTTCCCCATGTTCAATAAGATGGCTTAAGTACAGTGAAATTTACAGAGTTATAGATGCCACAGGTGCAGTTAGGGGCAGCTTTCCCCTTGTGAAGGAGAGCTGCATATTTAGTCCTCTGTTAAACCAGATCAGTAGTAATAAATAGTAATTATGCATCCTGCCAAAAGAGATAGAAGAGAGCTAATAAAAACCTTTCACTGTGAGATCAATCAGCAGGAGTGGTTTCTGTCAAGCCTATGGCAAAAACTAGGGTGAGAACTACAGCAACAGATACAGACAAGGGTTGACAATGCATTACAGTGAGATAACTGGTGTGAAGAAACAGCCTGTTTGTCCTGTTGGTGAGTTGACTCCTCAAGCTTCTGCAGTGCATAGACTAGTCAGCTTCCAGGAGGTGACTAGAGCAGGGCTGTCATCCTGTTGTTCTTGGTCCCCTATTGTTTCCTGGGAAGCAGAGTCCTACTGAGGGAGGGCATTTAGATTCTGGAGGGTGATCCTGAATGGTGAAGCCAGATCAGGGATGCACTCTCACTCAAGAGAAGCTGGCTTGACTCAACTGTGGTGAATCCAAGGGGCAATCACTGATACTTTAACTGCAGTGGGAGTATTAGACACGATAACAACAAAAGGACCCTCCAATGGGGTTTTAATGGTTGAGTATTTTATTTTATTTTTACCCAATCATCATGGCAACAATATATTATCAGTATACATGTCCAAGAAAACACGTTTTAAAAAAAAGTTAAAACCACTATCTTTAAGTATCAAAGGACATGTTTACAGCCAGTAAAAATAATGATTTTCTCTCTATTTAAATAGAAGACCCTGTCTAAAAATATGAGTTTATGTCTGGAAGAGCTTTAATGCCAGATAGCCCCACATGCATAAGAACCATTTCTTTAATCCTCTCAGCCTTGGTGATTTTTGAGAGGTCTGGCACCAGTTACTCCATTTGAACTTTGATGGTATTCCCCCCTTGTCTCCAAACTGCTTGTCTCTGAACAGTCTCCTCTGAAGATCTTTCTCCCATCCAAGTACTAACCAGGCCCAACCCTGCTTAGCTTCCAAGATCAGATGAGATTGGACGTGTTTAGGGTAGTATGGCCATAGACTGAAGATCTTTCTTAATTGGTTGCTCTTTCCTGGATTTTGTTTGTTTGGTTGGTCTTGGTCCCACATCAGGAGGGAATAACAAGCAGATCAGGTGTGAGTCAGTGCCAACTACACCCTTTTGGCCAAATTTAAGCAACAAAGAGGCTTGGAAGGAGTGGCTCTTAGGCAGTGGCCTTCTAGACAAGGACGATACAAAACAAAATCTAACAAAAGCAGATGTCTAAAAAGCTAACCTGGTTGACACATAAGTAGTTATTAGAGTCATTTTTATGTACTTGATTGTAAATGCCCCAGAAGGATCAGAACTGTAATGACAAAAACGTAAGATTCATGGTAAAAGTTCTGATGCACAGTTTAGCAACTAACAGAACAGTATATCAGTACCACTAACCCTTTGTTACTGTGTTTATCTAAATTTTGTATTTTACAAGGCTTGATATACTTGAAAAACATAAATATATTTAATATATAGGAACCAGCAACAGTATCACAACTCTAGAGAGGTTATATATACATATTAGTTTAGTTGTTGCTCTTGAAGTAAAAATAAAACCTTAGATTTTTATCAGTTGTAGGGGGAAACAGTTTTAGTAAACCCAAATAGCCCAGTCACAGGCACTTAAAGGGTGCCAACTGTATTAGAATTACCCAAGACAACAGTTGTTTAATCATGAGGTCATCTAGAAAGTTTTATATAAACTGTTGGAAAAATAAGAGGCATGGAAGAGGCAGCGGGTTTATTGTTTTAGGCAGGAGCCCTGAGGAGGGAGACCCTAGCAGGAGAGCTAGAGACCATTGTCATACACAGGCTTGGGCTAGATATAGGGGGCTAGTGGAAAAGTACCAGGAAGGTCACTAAAGGATATTGTTGCTGGGCAACCAAGAAAGATAAGTCGTAGTTAGGTCATTGTATGCCCAACTGTCCTTGTCATCTATCTAGGGAGATAGAAGTAAGTTATCTGCAAGAAGGAGGGAGTCTAGTCCTAACCTAGCTGTCCTTATTATTAACCCAACATAAAACATGACTCAGTTACCTTAGCAGTTAAAACCCTGACAGAAATCACCAAAGAATACAGGTAAATATTTATGGGGACTAAGTGTGGAGTTAGGAAACATAGTGGCCAAGAATCATGGCTCAGATGTTGATAAGGGATCACAGCCCAGATTGTTGACATTAACATATAGTTCATGACATACAGCAGGATTCCACCAACCTGTAGTCAGTGGAGCCCCCTACAATAACAGGCACAATCTAGACATCCCAGGCCAAAAGTTCCCTCTGTCCCACATGTGGAAGGAGTAGGACCAACATCTCCACTCTGTTGAGTCCAATAAAAATTGGAGGTCTTGACTTTCAGTGTAGTGCTCCTTTTTGAGTGCTATTTATTTATTTATTTTTATCCTATCTGGAGGGTGTACTTTGGCTTTGTTTTACATAGGTAGATCTGTTTTACATAGGTAGATCTGCTCATATTAGTGCAGCAGTTCTCCCTGTGCTCAGCTGCCTCTTGTTTTTCTGTGTTTTAATAAACTCTTGTTATCTTAACAAATTTTTGGATTAACCTGTAGCACCAAAAATTCCTGACAGTTGTCTTGATAAAATAAAAACCATTTTAAGATAATTTTTTTGTAAACCTTATCAAGAACAATACAATATTTTTAAAGGTAGCCTTGCTGTTATGAGCTGGAGAATTAAGTTTTAGCTTAACATCAGTACATTAAATTTTGACCTTACAAAACCTTTAATGTAAGTCTTAGATTTTAGTTAATTTAATCACTTACATAAGCATCTATATCTTTGTGACAACTTAATATGTACCCTCTGAGGGAGTTTGTCATTATCCTTTATTTATCCAAAAGTATTTTTTTTTACCTTTTATTTTCTAAAAACCATAGCCTTAATACCT